ACAAACGAAAAGCTTCCGGCAGCTTATACATTTTTAGAATGCCATACTTACCAAAACCATGTTTTTATTTGTCGGATCGATCGGAATTGTGGTCGAGCCATTTATTTCAGTGAAATCAGTAAGTCAGACGGGGTGGTAGGAAGAAAGTGCCTAGCTATGAAATTGAAGGCCACACTCCATTGTTGACCGCTCATCCGGCCTCACCAAGACACGACGTTACATTTAGTCGAGCTTCATGAACGCATTGAACGCACACTTTACAAATCTCACCATTCGACTCACAACCCAATGAACACGTGCGTCTGTGCATCAGTGATACATAATGCCCCAAGAGTCATTCTTGATAAATTTGAGTCAAATATACAGGGCAACGACGTGTTCGTATGGAAGTTTAAAATGTTAATCGACTTAAAAGCCGGCGTTGAATAATACCAGTATGCTTTTCGCCTCTTTAAGTATGGTTAAAATTACGATATTTTTGGCCACTCAGTTTTTATATACATTATTATTTAAGCGTGCAATTGACTTTTTGGCATTTGATCACACAAATATATATGTAGTCTGATAAATGCACTGTTTCAACTTATTTTGCATTTATAACCTGATTATATTAGGCTCGTATGTACTTAAGTTCACGTTTTTTACTTTTCTTTCCTTCAGTTGACATTCTTACGCATGCCGCTTGGAAGTTTAGTGGATTCCCTAGGCATCGCGTGCTTGGTTCCGGGACACTTTTAGATTCGGCTCGGTTTCGATACTTCATCGGCAGAAAATTAGGAGTCGCACCAGCTTCTGTCCACGCGTATGTCATTGGTGAACATGGAGACTCAAGTGGTAATTTTACGCAAATAATTGCATGTCTAACTTCAAATAAAGGAAGCTATTGACATTGACTACATTTCATGCTCTTGTATATGTGTGTTTTAGTTCCGGTTTGGAGTAAGATTTCCATTGGGGGTCAAATGCTATCCGATACATATCCAAAAATTGGACGAGAGGAAGACCTGGATAAATTTTCTAAAATTCATAAAGATGTCGTAGACAGGTAAGCTACTGGTTTTAGCCATTACTTTTTACATGTTAAGAAAAATTAAATTTCTTCTAACCAGACTTCTTTTTCAACAATTTCTACTTGCTGATTTCTAAAAGCCATTTTTCGTACGAATTAATATGTATGATTGCAGTAAAACGGTAGTTTCTCAGATAATTTAGCATGCCCTGTTTAACGAGACAAAGTGTACTTGCCTGCTCAATTGAGGCTGCTGGCTGCCCTGTGACTGCTAGCTGTAAATAGCATTAACCCCCCCATTTTCATGAATGCTAGAATACTTTCTGGTTGATTCGGTCCTTCAAGGGATTAAAAGGCAACTCGCTCCCATTTTAGTGGTTTTTATTCGCACGTAGGTATTTCTCAGATTTTAGTTTTTAAAGGAAGTTAAATTGCTCGCAAAGCAGGTAGTTTGCAATATTTACAGCTATCTTGGGGTTTCTCTTTGACCAGTGCCTATGAAATCATCAGGCTGAAGGGATACACTTCTTGGGCCATTGGCCTCAGCTGTGCAGCCCTCTCCCGTGCTCTGCTGCATGACCAGAACACCATTCTACCAGTGTCCACAAACGTAAAGGTAAGTCTTCCCATTTTGTCGTCTTTAAATCGGATCATTTCTGTCTTTTACAGTTTTCTTTAAGTTATTCTTTCTAAAACAGGTCGTTGCCCTTCTTTAATGACCTGTGGAATAAGACCCATTGATAGGTATATTAAAAGCTTACGATGTAACGAGCATCAAGCATCTAAATTATTAGTTAGACTGAGGGGAGGGATAGTAATACATGCATCGACATTTTTCTGGGAAAACTATATCTCCAAGATCCAGTGTTAGCCACACCAGACCTAGTGACCATCATGCGCTCGAGTACGACACGTCTACAAAAATATTTAAGACAGATAAGTTAGATTATGGACGTTTCAATCACAACTTCTCTATGCATGGGGACCCTTGTGGTGTTCAAAACATGACTGCATGGGAAGAGTTGTAGAATATGCATCGGTTGCAGTTTTTCTTTTTAAAAGTGGGACGTAGAAAGCTGGTCCGAGGACGAAAATACTAGAGCCGGACGGCTTCTCGCCGCCATAAGTCTACGTCACGTTAGCTGTAGGCACAGGCCCTGTTTGCAATGCAGATATTTCAAAAGATAGACTGTTTTAATGCCAAAAGTGCACACTCTGATGTAAGTCGCACTTTTTCTTTGAATATGAGTATAAAGGTTGACACTACATGCGTCCAGGGTACTGCGATTCTGATTCAATACCACGTCCCTTAGTACCCGTCGTCAAACTTAGAACAACGAGTATCTTTGGCTATTTCAATTATTTGTGTTGGAAGTGGTCGGTGATTTTTAAAATCGCATAAATACGATTCAGTCATAGATCTCACCTTCATAAGCCTTTCCTAAAGAGATTTTTACAGGACTCTTTAATGCGATTTTTGTGAAGACGTGACGGATTGAAAAATCTGTTATTTTCCCTCAAGGGCCTCTTTGGTATAGACTACGACGTCTTCCTCAGCATGCCCTGCGTGATCAATTCGGACGGTGTCCGGTCCATTGTGAATTTGAACCTCTCAGCTGAGGAGAGACAGAAGTTCAAAGCCAGTGCGGAGATCCTGAAGGCAGCAAGTTCCGATCTGGCATGGTAAGAGAGTCGACAAGGAACGGAGAGTAGGCTCTGTAGCCAGGCCTCCCACAATTTTTGCAATAAATCCCTCCAAGTTTGTTTCCATTTCTGCACTTTATTCGTGAACATGTCTAAAGTCAATTAAACGGGTATTCGGAGTTGGCATTAAAGTAAAGCATCTACAAAATACACGGCGTGCAGTCTCCAAAAAAGCGAAAACCATGAATTTGGACCTAACCACAACTACCAGCATTGAGGACCATTACTGTCACCTGAGAAGAAGAATAGATCGCTGGGATAACTGTTTTATTCGCCTGACGTTTCGACATCCGTCGCGGATTCTTCATCAGAGACATGAGCAGAAAATGGTGACAGAAACGGGTAAATAATGCACAGAAAGTTGTAGTATTTAAAGGACACAGTCAGTACTGCACAGATATGACAAATAACGATAATTAACGATAATTGCCTCCCCTGCATGGACTTCTTGATGACCGGCATGCGGGCCATGACCTGCTGGACTTGCATCACGGGGGGTGGAATTTGACTTGACAATTGCGCCGTCATCTGGTTCCCCGGTTGACGTAAGACGATGCGGTGGCTTGAGCGTTCCCCAAGTGGCCACTTGCTTTGGCCAGCTTGAGCCTCAGCACCGAATATGGATTGGGCAAGTCGTTACACTTTTCTGTGGACTGGGGGACTATGAGCCATGATTCAAGTAATTCTCGGCGAACACGGCTACCACCTCTTGCGAGAATTTCGGTCTTATCGTATTTGAATGAGTGGTAGGGTCTCGTCGAATGAACCGCAACTTGAGAATTGGCATCATTTCGCCGCACTGCTGCCGCGGATTCGACAATTCGCGTCTTGAGAAGTCTTTCAATTTCTCCGACGTAGTCAGTTTGCCTGCAACTGTACCAGATCCTATAGACGACTCTAAGTGTTTCTTGCTGTGGCAGTGGGTCTTTCGGTTTCATTATCTGACACCTTATGTTCACCTCTGGCCTGTGTGCGAACCCAACTCCACGTGGTGCGAGAAGGCGGCCGAGGGCCTCCGAGACGTTTTTAATGTAAGGGATCGCTCGCCAAAATTGGCGATAAGTACGATTCTATTGCTCGTCTTGTTTGCGCAAGCACCGGTTGACGAATTTGCGAGGGTAGTCATTTTCTCTGGACACCCGTCGAAGATATGTTATTTCGGCAACTGTCTTCCGGTTCCCTGTAGTACGTCTCAACACGCCGATAAAGCGGCCTTTCGCAACTGCGTTGGTGGCTGATGGGGTGGTTGCTGTTGAAGTTCAGTACTTGCATCGAGTTTGTAGCTTTCTTGAATACTTTGGTTTTAAGGCCACCCAAATATTTGCGACAGACGACGACATCAAGTAAGGCCAGCTGCTTGTTCTCTTCCTCCTCCATCGTAAATTGTACGTCCTAGAAGACGCTGTAGAGAAGTTCCTTGAACGTGAGCACCTGATCCCGTTCGAATGGGCTCGAATCTTCTTTTTCTTCTTCTCAATTACTTCCTGGGACTCGCATGTTCGCTTGTATTGGCAATTACTATCAACTACTTCTGTCGCATCTTCGTGCCTTAATACTTTGATTTAGACTGGTAATCAAGTGCTAACTAGAGTCGGTGCAGTGGTTTGCATTGCTCGGACCGTCTGTATAACGTGTAGCGCACTCAACAATGCGACTGTCGCGAACTTCGTGG